TTCAGCATATTTAACGTAAATTTAACATAAATTTTTTTAAATCATCTAACATTCTTCTAATTGCCATTTGAATTTAATTGCTATCAGAACTGCTGTCCCTATCGAAATTATAGAATTACAAACACTTCATATCGATATATTCAAACGCATACGCACACCTACATTTTCGGGATCTTTTCACGTGCAAGTGACGCATCGCGAAAACTGCCGAGAGCAATTTCACATCTACCGTCGTGATCTACTGACGTGCCCTTCGAGCATATCGACACCTGTCCGACACCAAAGGTGAAGGTGTCAGAAATACCGAGTATACGAAAAACAGATTGCGAATCTTTCGGCAGAGAAGACTTACCGTGCATTCTTCCATCTGCGGACGATGCATCAACGCGCAGGGATAACGACTACGATTTTGCATATATGAGCGATATTTTTCAGACATCGATATTTCTGGCTGATGTCCAAGGTGAGACGGTCGTCGCGCGATCAATGATTGCTGATTGATGTTGCGATATATCGCAAGCACTACAATTTTTTATTCTTGAATCGCAATACGATACGTAATTAAACCTTTATCGCAAAATCGTGCCTGCAATTCAAAATCACTCGTCATTTTATTTAAGTATTAAAGTACACTATTAGAAAGATCTGTATAAAATTTAATAATTGGGATATGACGTTTTTTTTTACATAAAATTGTGTTATAAAAAGTAATAGTAAAGTCAATATTATATTTAATAACACATAGTTATGAAAAATCATAATCAGATTTTATTTGTCATAATGTTTTTATAATAATTTAGAAATGCTAAATGAAAAATAGACTTCTGGATAACTCTGTTGAAATCTCGATAAAGGTCACGATGCTTTACAAGTTGTATTTTTAGGCCATGTGACCAAAACAATCTCGTATTTATGATATATTAAAAAAATTATTCTAACATATTATAACATGTTATAATGTTTCATAATTTAATATGGAATTTAATAAAAAAAACATGGAATATAAGATAGAAAATATTAGATTTCATAAGAAATATTAAAATTATAACTAATTTATAACTAATAATCCTAATGTTATGAAAATCTTCACTATTATTAATTTTAATATCAAATTCTTAAATTTACTTACAAAAATGCTATTATTTTTAAAAACTTTTCTAACAGTGTATACAAATATCGCGCGACAATTTATGATATTTTATATTATTTAATTCACTTATTTATTCAGAGACATAATGGAATTATGTCATTATAACAGCCATTAAATGTTAAGTTGCATTATTTCTTTTGTTATATGATTTATATATATATATATATATATATATATATATATATATATATATATATATATATATATATATATATG